TATATATATATATATATATATAGAAAGACGATTGGAAATTGTTTATATATTTGTATGTATCTATATGTATATTTTTCAGGCCAACGCTCAGAGTTATATATATATATAGAAATCGGTGGTGTGGTTTTCGAAGACCGGACACATACACATTTCGATGCGTTGTGTTTGTGTTGTTTCATTTAACAGCAAGGGAGACGTTAAACACACAGATTATATGTAGCATATCTATATATGTTTCACGGCAATATTATATATACTCTACCGGTAGATATATATATATGTCATGCACTAGTACATATATTGCATCATTAGTAGATATATTATATATATGTATAGCATCACAAGATTCGTACCATGTACAGTTCTCACATGAGTCAAGCTACAAGATGCAAGCAGATACAGTATATCATCCATAGTAATATCCATTCCATTTTAAACGGAATTGGACAAGAATAAACCAACGGATGTCCATAAGACCTTTGGCCAGTCCTCAAGTAAACCCCCACAAAAATAGCAACATTGTAAACAGAGCAACTCGTCGACGACTTGTCGATTGCAACCACGTCACAGTGTCTCATCGTCTTGGCGGCAAATAATACATCGCAATAATACCCATGTAGAGGAGCTTAAAACGAAGTTTGGAAAACTATATATATATATATGTGGTCAAGGCGATTCGATAAATGATCGCTGGTGATGCGACATGGAGAAAAATTTATGAATCGACACACAACCAAATAAATGTACAGAATCATCGACAGGAGGTTTTAGCCAATCAAATTGCAGGAAACCCTCATCGACATATAATTAGTGTGTGACTTCTATTAGTGTGATACCAAGCCCCACACGACCCCTTTTTACATACAAAATTTCAGTACAACGACTATCGATGGATCGATTTGGCGATTTAGCACACGAAAGTCAGCCAAATTTGGGGTAAAAGAAAGACAATATTCGAGTGGGGAGCTCAATCGAATGACCAGCAGCACCAACAAATCGGCAGAAAATGGATTGACCAATCAAAGTACTCATATCACGAATCAAGTAGCCAATCAAATCCACTCCTGGAGCCATTCCACGTCGAATGAACGAGTGACTTCAATTACCGTATAGTGTATATCTATTGCGACAGGTGATATTTTACACTCGTTCATACAAAGTATAGTCAACATATTCACAAGTAAATATCAGTTATGACAAGAACATTATCAGTTATTACAGGAATGAATCCATCGCAATACATATACACTATACGGTACAGTGTGACACTCGACGATGTTTACATCCAACAAGGCCATTCCAAAGAAAATCGATTGATCGATTTGGCAAAAATCAGCACAAAAGTACAACTTTTGACCAAAATCGGCACAAAAGCCCAAATTTTGGGTCAAATAAAACGAAAATACCTCATGTGCGTACACAGCTATGCGGACAAACAAGTGCGCGGCTGCCTCCAGATGATGCAGAGGCCGCTGGAGCAACGCCAGCGCTTGGCGTAAACTAGTCACGCGGATGGTTTTGAACTGGAGGGGCTGGTCCGACGGTGGAGGTGGCGATGGATGAAGCATGTCGCGAACGGTGTTGTGGTGCACGACCCAGCAGCTCAAGCCAATCTCGAGCCCGTGGTTGTGTTGGAAGAGCCGCCAGAGGATGCCCCCGATCTGGCCAAACGCCGCCAGCACGTCGGCCAAACATGTCGTGGACAAGGCGGCATGTGGGGACGCGGCAAGGAGAGACGATGACGACAGGCCCACGGTAGTCGCGCGCTTCAAGGTGCTCGAGCCGTAGCACACCATGCTCGCGTTGAACCCGTCGCACACGATGTCCTCGATCGGAGCGGACACCTGTTCAAACACGTCCTTCGGATGAAACCCCGACGGCAACACGGACGTGAACTCGAACGATGTCGGCAACGACTCGTCGAAATCGTGCGACGAATGCACCAGGTGGATGCGGTTCGTGGCGGGGTCCGCCGCGACGGTGGTGGTGGCGGCCGTGGACAGCGCCAAGGAAGACGGAGACGTGGCGGCGTCGCTGCACACGCAGCAGTAGCTGCCCATGCGTCCTGTATACAACGGCACGTCCTCGGTGCTCATGCGGTCGTTGTTGGAATCCACGGATACGTTGGTGGCAGTTACACGAAGCCACCAGGTCATTTATATTTAATCTTCGAACCATCACTCATATTCATTTATATTGTCTAAAGTAATATTATACTTCGAAGTAACCAAAAAAAATAGGTTATAGTATTACTGTTAGAGTACCGGATACAAGTTGCATTATCCGGCACATCAGTGCTCAAACATTTCGGTGACGTTGAACAGTAAAACAGTTCCACTGTTGTTTTTCTCAGAAAGCGCTGCAATCTGAGTGTTTATATGGAAGTATGAAGTATGGAGATATCTATGTATGCTCAGACCACTTCACCTCTTACTAGGGGTGAAGTGCATCTCAGTGGTCGCCAACCACTAGTACGCGATGCAGTTAATTTAGCGTCGGATAGAGTCATTGGGGGTAGGACAGAGTCCCGGAAGGTGTATCCGGAATGGGAAGTAATTCCCTCATTGAAACAGGATTTCGGGTCAAAACAACAGGGGATGTGTTTTAATGAGGGCATTTTGCCCATTTTGCGAATTTCAGCAAATGGCTGTTGAATAGATTAATAATCTACCAGTACCTAGTATTACTACGTAGTAATAGTCACAGTCAGTTCATTTTCATTCGAGATTTGTCCTTTGAAGATATGTATGAAGCTGTTTGGGACCTCATATTTTTACAGGTTCAGATGATACACTGTACATATGTCCAGTAAAATTGGTTTCAAAAAGTGATTTTTCACCCGTATTATCTGTACCATGGATGAGTGTCTCATTGGATATCAAATGTGTGTATCGGATTGGATAAAATACAAATCCTACGACCAATCAAACTCGATCATAAATCCTACGACCAATCAAACTGGTTGGATCCTGCGGGGTGAGATTATCCGGATATCACCCCATTGTGCGGGAGAGTTCGACGGCTCCATTTTGCCATATTTCGGCGTATTTTGGTATATTTTGCCATTTTCGTGATGGGGAATGCCACCTCAATCCAATTTGACTTGAGATTTGTATAAGATGATTGCCAAGGTGATCAAAATTCCCTGAAATCTCCAATTTGACAGAGAAAACTCCAAAAGCGCGGGTTGAGCCGCAGAGTGAGTTCGACACCGTCATGACGATGAACAAGTCCGAAGTCGGCACTTCGTCATCCCACCGGGTGCTGCTCCCTCCATCGTCCGCGGAAGCGGCAGCCTCCATGACGGCATCCAATGATGTGCGACGACGTCCGCTCAGCAAGACCGCGCTTCGCAAGGAAGCGTCGTACGTGTTCAAGTATCTCCTATTCGCGCAGGTGACGGTGTACCTTGAAACCGGAACGATCCCGTGCTTGTTGGACTCGTTTGCCGTCGTGTTCAACATGAATGCGCGGGAGCAAGGGTGGCTCGGCAGCGTCGTGTATATCTCCCTGTGCGCGGCATCCCCGCTCAGCGCCATCGCGTACAAGCACGTGGACGCCAAGTACGTGCTCGGGATCTCGCTCGTGCTCAACAACCTATGCGTGCTCGGGTTTGCCATGACGCCGACGGGGTACGACAACAGCTCAATCGTGCTCATCACGATGCGCGCGTTGATCGGGTTCACACAGTCGTTCTTGTGTGTGTACACGCCGCTGTGGGTCGACGCGTTCAGTCCGCGGGGGAGTGTCGCTGGATGGATGAGCTACCTCCAAGGAAGCGTGCCGCTAGGGGTCATGTTCGGGTACCTTTTTGGCTCCGTGAGCAACTGGCTAAGCACGGACATGTGCTTCTTCCAGTGCTGGCGGTGGCCATTCCTCCTCCAGTTTGTGCTCGTGGTACCCCTCATGATTGGCGTGTTCTTTGTGCCGACGGAGCACCTCAACATCATCATGTCCACGCGTAAGAAGCAGCCCCTACCCATCCCCGACAAGGCGCTTCCACGGCCGCCTTCCTTCAACACCACCACCCATGACGTGGCAGAGCGACAGCACACCCACCCCGTCATGCTCGAGGAGATGGTGCTTCCCCGGCGGTCCACGTCCTACTCCAACTTGTCCTTTCGGTACAGTACTTGCGTTTGGTTGGTTGGCGTAGTTTTATGGGGTTCTACCGTCGTTATATCAGTTGATCGCCTCTTTTTACCAGTTTTACACCTTTCTCATCAGTTTTTCGCCTCTTTTTCGTGTTTTTTTTGTTTTTTTTTGTTTTTTCGTGAATTTTTGTTCATATACAGTATGTCGAGCAGCCAACCCAAAGCAGAGGCGAATTACCAATATACTGTGTGCGATGATGGGCAATTCCTTTCGTAATCATTGTCAAATCCGTGCGAAATTGGATATAATCCCCAGTCGAATCAAAGAAAATAGGCAAAATATGACCTGTTCTAGCCAATCATATGATAACATTTGAGATATTTGAACCAATCAGCGAGCATTCAAGAATCCCGTTCACAAATCCGAGTCCAAAATCAGTTTAGATAAAACTACACTCTCCACGATCCATATGTAAAAACCCAACACATGACAAGAGAAATGCCATAGAAAAAAAATAGTGTATGTGTTTGACTGCCACTGGTTGCATATATATCTATATATATATATATATATACTCGTGATGGAATGTTGTCTCTATCTAATGTATATTATTTATGTACATATAGCAGCAATGCCGAGTTGAACCCAGCGCAGTTTACTGCCATTCGAGCGTCATACACGACCCCTCGGTTCCGCATGGACTCGTACGATATTGACTTCGTCGACGACCCCGAGCTGGTCTCCAGTAGTTCTCACCATCACAATCCTCCTCACCATGTTCCGAATGCCCCCATGTCCCTGCCAACCTACGGCACAACATCGAACACTTTGATGGAGCCTGTGACCACCCCTAGCTCCTCCCTTCCGCACTCGGCTCCACCGGAGATCCCCCCGCCCCCGCCACCGTTCAAATCGGCGCCATCTCTGCATGAAACTACATTGCCTTCTTCCTTGTACGATCTATATATATATATATATATATGGATAGATAGATTGGATAGATCGAGTCGTAGTAGGGTCGTCTTGTTCATTGTGTGATCTATCTATCTATATATATAGTTGGATTGGATTGGATGGATATATATATACACACTGGATCGAGTCGTTGTAGTGTATATATATATTAATTTATATATATGTGTTTTGATATCAAAGGTGAAATATTGTGTAGAACGCAAGCCGGGGTAGTGCGGCCGCCAACAACTGTGCCCGTGCTTCGGACGACATCATCGCGCCGATCCTTTCGGTATGGTCCTTGTTCCTCTCAGATAATATATCTTTGGACTTTTGTGCGGCTTATTTGCCGAAAATTGGATCGATTTGTATGGCATTTTGTGCGAATATGCCGATAATTGGATTGATTTGTATGACTTTATAAACCCAGCCAACCGACCCCGCGTTGGTTGGTGTGTATATATACATATATATTAAAACTAAAAAAACTAAAAATCTATACAAGCACAAATCTAATACAAAATCACCGTGTATATATATATATCCCTGTATTCTATAAATGTAGTATCATTTCCCTTGCATTGTTCTTCTAACATGCCCCCATTGGTCACAACTGTAGCGGGTATCGCGCGTGTTCCAGCCGCGTGATCATGGACGAATTCGATGAAGATGAACAAGAAGAAGATGATATAGATGTGGACATGGGGTTCTTCCACAGCTTACGGGTGCTGCTCCTTCGGCCGCTCTTTACTCTGATCGTACTCGGCCTCAGCGCCATCTACTTCGTCGTGACCGGCGTCCAGTTCTGGTCCACCATATACCTCCAGCGCAACTTCAACGCATCTGTGGTGATTGTCAACGGGCTTTTTGTTGTCGTCGCTGGCACTGGTCCGATCTGGGGCGTGTTCTTTGGAGGCGCACTCATCGACCGCGCGGGTAAATATATATATATTATATATATACGTATATATATACGTAGATACGTCACTAAAAAATGAATCCCAATTACCTGCTTTCCCCTCGCCCTTCTAGTGGTTCATAAAGTGGCGAAAACGACGCAAAAAGTTGAAAGTGTAGCCAACACCACTTTTGTTGAGGAAAAATGTGGTTATATATATATATATATGTGCGTTTAGGGATGGAATTTTTCATGAGTCTTCTTCTTCTTGGAATTGTATATATATATATATATATATATATATATATATATATATATATATATGTGTGTGTGTGTGTATGGTCCTCGATCCGTCCATGAGGACAACGTTACGTGTGATATGATGATGTTGATTTTCGATTGTTCGATTTGGTTATTGTATGATATATATATATATATATATATATATATATTCGAGTATGTCAATGTACAAGTGGTGATGATACGATTCAAATATCCGTTGAATATATATATATATGGACAATAATGTGCTCTATCCTTCCATGAAGAAGAGGACAACGTGTGTGATGATGTGAGTCGATTCCTTGTGTTATATATATATTACTGCTCAATGTTGTTGTATGCCAATGTACAAGAGGTGATGATGGGATTCAACTCCTTGTATGTCAATCTATATATATATAATATACATATATATATTGTTGTATGTTGTCCTCGTGCCAATTTGATGTTGTGATTTGATTCGTTTATCTATCTATATATATATATATCACCCAAGGCGTTATTGATGCGATATTCGTTTATATATATATATATATTTGTATGTTGTTACCAAGTATACAGTGTATATATATCACACCCGACTGTATATGTTTGTGTACGTTTTCGTTCATATCGACTATACATATCATTATCTTTCTAGGACAGAATAGTGACATGTCACTGTAGGCGGGTACATGGGGCTCCACCAACGCGCAAAAGCGCTGGGTATTTGCGTGTGCCTGGGGTTTGTGGCGTTTTCCCTGGGAATAGTGACCACATTCCTCCCAAATCTGTATCTAACTGCCGCCAGCTTGTGGCTGGTTTTGTTCTTTGGCGGGTCCATCCTTCCATCCTGCACGGGGATTTTTATCAGCGCCACGCCAGTCCATCTGCGGTCGCTCGCGTCCTCCGTGTCAGTTATGGTGTTTAACCTGCTCGGGTACGCTTCGTTTTATGTAGTTATTGATTTCGTGCATTTCAGTCAAATTAGTCTATTTTCGGGGATTGATGAAATCGCCATTGAAGCGAGCAAACGAGTATGATTGGCTATAAAAAGAATGGAGGTTGGAATGTGATTGGCTAAAAAGATTGATTGATACCCCTGAGTTTGATATAAAATTTCACAGGTCCGGCGATTGTTTGGCGGTTAATTCAACCAAGTATTGGAGGAAATTTTATGTAGAACAAATCACACAATATATTTCGATTGGTAGAAAGAAGAAAAAAATACTTTGGTTTATAGTTGGTTCATCGTTTTATCTTGTACGTACTTAAGTCCATCCACGACTTCGAAGTGGAATCGTTGAAGAGGGAAAATACACTTTGATTGGCTGCTTGATTCGTGTTGTGGGATTTGATTGGTCGATCCATGCATGGTCTGCCGATTTGGGAGCCGTGGGGCCTTCCACAAACAGTAAATTCGAATAATCGAAGGATGGACAATATATATATATATATACATATATATACATATATACTTCATAGTGTGTTGAAAATACATATTGTCGTTTGACCCAAAGTTTGGACTTTTGTGCTGATTTCCCAAATTCTATCAATCGATTCTTTGGTTTGTTTTTGTCTGTAAAAATCGTCCAGCGTCACACTAATATCAAAGTCAAACACTATTTCGATGTTGCATTGGTCGAATGTGAGTGGATGATTTGATTGGCTACTTGATTCGTGATCTGGGTTTTGATTGGTCGATTTTCGATTGTCTGCCAATTTCGTGATTTGCTTATTCGATTGAGAGCACACGCACCCCACACCACTTTCGAATCGACTTGACAATATATATATATATATATTTATATATATATACTAATATTACGTGCATGTGTAGGTACGCGTTGGCACCGGCGTTGACAGGGTCGTTCATGGAACTGATCCACAACAACCAGGATGACCCCCATAGTTATTGGTATGAGTGCGATGAAGCGTGTATGTATCGCGTGGGCTTTCGCTGCTGCCTCGCGTGGAGTGTATGGTCTTTGCTGGCCATGTTAGCGGCGTACATTGTGGCCAAGCGGCAAGCGGCGGCGGCTATTCGGACTGGGGAACCCCCGCAGCATCACATACAACGACCTGTGAAGGCGGCTATGATCATGCACTAATCATACGTAGTAGGAGTTAGTCTCTAGTTAGACGAGTTTTGCTTTGACGAGAGATTATTGAATAGGTAAAGATAGAAAAGTACAAAGATCATGATAAAGATGCCCAACTACACCACGTAGATACTAGTACTACACCTTTTTTCTATTGAGTTGGGACTTTTTTCAACGTTCTTGGCTTGGCGCTCATTCGAAAGGGCGATGTGTCCATTCATTTGGCCTTGTGGCCAATGGACACGGCGCTCATTCGAAAGGGCGATGTGTCCATTCATTTGGCCTTGTGGCCAATGGACACGGCGCTCATTCGAAAGGGCGATGTGTCCATTCATTTGGCCTTGTGGCCAATGGACACATCGCCCTTTCGAATGAGCGCCAAGCCAAGAACGTTGAAAAAAGTCCCAACTCAATAGAAAAAAGGTGTAGTACTAGTAGGCTGTAGTTGTAAAAGTACAGTACTAGTAGTAATTAGTAAAGGACGCTAAAACCATTTAACCTTCGCATTTGGGATACAAAGAATAACCGAAGGTTAATACCGTTTTGGACAATGGTATAACGTGAAATCGATACAACTGGTTTAGTACTACTACAACATAACGTAGACCTGTACTGTACTGTGCCAAGTGTTTCGAACGCGTTAGTAGTAGTACTAACTGAAATCACGTTTTGAAAGAAAGGTTTAAACGTTTAACCTAAAGTAAACGATTGAGTTCTGATCGATTTCCCACGATGAGCGATGACGAAGAGTACGAGTTTGAGTACAGCGACAACGACGACGATGTAGACATGGGGGACGACGAGAGTAGCCCGGAAGTGGCGATGGAGAACAAGTACTACCTCGCCAAGGCTGTGCGCGACGAGAAGCATCATGACGAGAACGACGCCGTGGAAGCGGCGTTCCAACAAGTCCTCGACCTCGACGAGTTGGGCGAGTCGATCTGGGGCTTTCGCGCGCTCAAGCAACTGATTAAGTGGGAGATCCGCCACAGCGAGTTGGAAAAGGCGATGAAGCATTACGAGCAGCTCCTGCATCGCATTGCCACGTCTGCCGTGATCACACGCAACATGGGCGAGAAAGGTGTGAACGGCGTCTTGGACTTTGTCTCTGCGCACCCCGTCGTGCCCACTAATGCGTCCGGCACGTCCTCCGCGTCCTCAGGTACATATCCATGTATAATCGCTCTCTCCACGCCGTTGCACTTTCTGCATGTCCTGTCTAAACTACCATCCCCATCTTGTAGTTACACAATATCAAACTCTATGCTTGAAAAGAATCCTCATCGTATATTATATTCTCCGTGGAAATATATTTATATATATATATATACATGTATCCACCATGGCGAGATGTAGCTTGCTTTATCTTGTACATATACATATATGTCCTGGTAATATATATTTCTAAATTTATATATCTATACTATATATTATTGATTTGGAACGAATTTCTGGAATCACGTTCATTGGTCATTATTTCGACATTCCTTGTCTCTGATTGGCTAGATTGTTTTTTTGTTTTTTCAACTGCAGAATCCGAAACGCCTCTGAAACTTCGAGGGTTGTGTGATCAGATTGACCTGTTTCCAATCTCATAGAATCGGGAAACTTGTAGGAAATTCATAATTTATATATTTATATTTATATATATATATATATATATACATATACTTTAATATCTATGGATACATTTTACCCGTTTAGTGGCTAACCTGTTATTGGTACCTATACATATATATAATATATGATGGTAGCAATTACGTGGGTACTGTTATCAATAAAAGCATTTATATATAAAGTATATATGTATTTTTATTGATATCGTACCCACCTAAATTGCTACAAGTATATATATATACTTTTATCGATATAGTACCGACCTATTTGCTACCATCCATATAAAACTCCTGTCCGTAACGAGTATACATATATATATACCGTAGACGACAGCGCGTGGGCGATATTACAGCAATTTTACGAAACCACGTTGGCCACATTGCAGCAAAATGAGTCGCGCAATGAGCGGCTGTGGTTTAAAACAAATTTGAAGCTGGGCAATCTCCTCTTTGACCGGCGGATGGACTCGACCAAGCAAAGCATGCAGTTGCTGCGCATCGTCAAGGAGTTGCTAGCGTCATGCGAGGCGAACGCGGCGGCGGTGGACGACGACGACGCTGCTACGACTGGATTGAAGCACGACTCGCAGCTCCTCGAAGTATACGCGCTGCAGATCCAGCTCTACACGGTGCAAAAAGATAACAAGAAGCTCGTGGAACTGTACGAAAAGGCGCTGCGTGTCAAACCTGGCGTCGCCCATCCCCGGATCGTGGGCGTGATTCGAGAATGCGGCGGAAAGATGCACATGATGCAGGTACGGACTCGACTTGGTGATTGTGTGCGTTTCACCCAAACTTGTATGACTTGGGAGGTCATGTCAAATTGCTGTCGAATCGATTCGATCTATCCTATTTAAGCTGTTTCTTGTACACACACACTCTGTATACTATATATATGATACAAAGATTAGTATATATATATATTGATACAAAGATTATTATATATATATATATATATATATATATATATATATTGATACAAAGATTATTATATATATTTATATATATACGTGGTTTTGCCCAATGCGGAGGGATCAAACGTTTGGATTGTCAGAATATATTCGACATGACGGGATGATTTGATTGGCAGTTCTTTCATCGATTCTGTTTTTGCTCACAGTTTCGAATCGATTTGACAACAACACATGCTGAATACGGCTTGACGAGGATATCACACTATTTGACGGTCATACACTATTTACGTGTGGTAACCTGTTTGGCTGAATCGTTGAACCCTGCTTGTGGGTTTGTGTTTTCGTGTCGGTCGTGGATAAAGATATTTTGTCGAAATGTTTTCTTCAAAGTTTCCCCATTTCATGTGATTGGCTACTCATTTCTTATAGAAATGCAAAATGAGATTATAGCCAATCAGCGACAAGTATTGTCGGATTGACCAATGGGAGAGATTGGTGCCCGGTTCACGAATCTCCAATATACTTGATGATTGTATTTTGATGGGGTATAAAGCTGGTGATTTCGAGCATCGATTGGTGTGAAGATATTTAATGTATGTATGGTATACAAAGATGAAAACTTGGGGTTGTTTTGACTGGGTTAAACTAGACTAGGCGACGATTGGTTGAAAAGTTTCGCGAGTGCACTTTGATTGGCTAGAACAGTCGTCTCAAACACATATATTGGCCAAATTCATTCGATTCGGTAAAGTTCAATTTGGAACGGATTATTGACACTATGGAAGAAGGCTGTACTGGATGTGTTGACCAGGAGCACACTATTTGACGCTCACACATCACTATTTCCGTGTGGCTGGGGTGACATCCTGATTGGTTGAATCATTGAATCCTTGTGTGTGTATATATTTTTACATGAAAGTATTTAAAATGTGTTTAGATGGGAGGTTGTGCTATGGATGCATGATATAAATAGGGTAGTGATATTTCATATCGTTGAGTTGTACATATGTTGTTTGTTCAAATTTCACGACTTATATAATTTAATATGTTGTCTGCGATGTATTGCCGACTCTGCATTGGGTTCAGCTTGTATATATAGGGCGACTGGGAACAAGCCCGCAATGCGTTCTTTGAAGGGTTCAAGAATTTTGACGAAGCGGGCGAAGCAAGGCGGTTGCAATGCCTCAAGTACGTGCCAGTTTATTATATATATATCTTGAAAAAAAAATATTATTTGATATATATATATTGATTGATTGATTTGCAGGTATTTGGTACTGGCAAATATGCTAGGCGAGTCCAAAATCAATGTATTCGACTCGCAAGAAGCCAAGCCGTACGAACAGGCCAAAGAAATTGTGGCCATGACCCAACTTACGGATGCGTTTATGAACGACGACATCAAACAATTTGGTACTTAAGCTGTCTATGGTGTATATGTGTTTTACGTTGACAAGGAGATGTCGATAGAGACTGTTTTGAATCGACATGGCCACTCGATCATGTCGGATGGATTTATCAAACACTATGTGGACAACCTCCTTCGCACGATTCGCAGCAAGGTAAGCCACTGCGATTCCAAATAGACCTTAACGCTGCTACTTCTCATCTTGAACGGTTCGTTTTATCAAGACGTACGTGTATGTAGGTAGTACTCAAAGTGATCAAACCCTATCAAGTCGTGCGATTGGCTTACATTGCGTCGGTAAGTTAGGACTCGTAGTGTTTATATTGTTCTTTCTATGCATTAATATGGTGGATATTCTGCAATGCTAACGGTAGTATTGTCGTTTCGAATATATATTTTTTGCATGCGTTAATTCTAAAGCAGTATTATAAATCGACGAATGAATCTATTTCTGAGTTTACAGAAAAGCAAAAAAATAGCGTAGAAATAAATACAGTATACAAAGTGTTCAAGTGTGCGATTGATTACAACGTTACAGTGGTGTCTTGGAATGGGTTTTGATTGGTCGGTTGATTCTCTGCCCCATTGGTGCGGCTCATTCAACGGAGCAAAACCAAACTTCGAACTAAATTGACAATATATACTTCCTCTGTTCCAGGTTACTGCCGACATTTCAAAATTCGCATGTTCCAAGTTACTGGTGACATTTGCATTTCATTGGCTGTAATTCTTCAATTTCTATCAATATCGAACATTTATGACATTTCATTGGCTTACAATTGCTTTAAGCGCTGATTATAAACCAATCTTTTGCGAAAATTCATGCAATTCCGTTTCAAAGTATCATTAGCCCAAATTGAGGGCTCGATTGTCTGTGTCAATTCAAAGTAAATGTCGGCAGTAACCTGGAACAGAGGACGTAATAATATATATCACGTATTTTGATGCTAATTATAGTGAAAACAATGGTAGGAATTGAATGGCATTGACCGTCAAGAAGTGGAGCACATTCTTGCAGCTCTAGTTTTGGACGGTAAAGTCCAAGGTCGGATTGATCAAGTCAACGGCCTTCTCGTGCTGCGCCCGTACGTTTGAGTTTTCATAAATGTGAATAATTTTGACTCTTTTTGTTTATTTTAAATGTAATTAGGCACAAAAGCGACGAAAAATTAGTCGGGGCACTAAACCAGTGGACCCACTCGCTTGAAAAGTTGCGCCGCCAACTGCACGACAAACTGCTTCCCGAAGCAGCCTAATTACTGGCAATAAATATTGTGCATTTCGCTCCAATATTGCTTACTTTGGTGAAAGAAATCGCCAGCAAATCAAGCCAAGCAGTATGATTGGCTAAAACGAATGAAGGCTGCCTTGTGATTGGCTATAAAGAGTGACTGGAACTTCAGCTTACAGTTAGTTTTGCATTAACAGTAAGTAACTTAAGCTTATACTAGTATTTCATGGCAGTGTAACGTTATGTGCAAAAGTCGTCTTTTTTATAGTACTTCCAGTACTATAAAAAAGACGACTTACCTATTAATAGTATGGCGCTTTGTAGATGTATAATATAGCCAATCACACACGTCAAAATTCCAATATTATTGTCCATTTTAGCGAATCAAAAAGGTCTCTCACTCGCCAATCCAATCTCTTATTATGATAATAATGCAGTTTTTTCAGCCAATCCAAATGAACGATACATTGTATTTCAGCCAATCCGATTTGAATGATTACGCGCCTCGATGCTACTGTCAACGCGGCTGCTACGACGTCTTGTACACGACAGCCACCATGGCCCAGATCACGCAAATGCCTTCGGGATAGGGCACGCTCTTGACGGCCACGCCAAACTGGGCATGCGTCGCCTTGGGGAAGAGCACGACCTCTCGCCCGACGACATCCGCCACTAGCTTTCGTTGGACGTCGTCGAGACTGGTGCCGCTCACGGGGAAGCCTTTGAACGTGTGGCCTTGCGGCACGGCCCCTTGCACGCTATTCTACGATTCACGTTATTGTCAACCCATTCCACTGTAGGCACCACCACCACACACTGTACGAGGTACCTGAAAGTACACGTTGTCCACGTTGGCCGATCCAAACACCCGTTCCACTTCGTACGACGTGAGGGCCATGCGTATGTAATGGCTCAAGTCAGGGTGCCACCTCGTCGTGTGCAGTCCGTGGGCGGCTCGCGTGGCCTGCAGCCAGTGGCGCAGCGCCCGATCGGTCGCCGCGTCGTCGGTCATCGTTACCGGCGGACGAAGCGCAACGGATGGCTGGCGCGGCCCCACTTGTGCAATCAACGCCGGATCCAACGCCTTCCACAGCTGGGGATTCTCAACCGTCCAATCCACAAGCGCAAACTCGATCCTGTCTTGGCAGTTGGCATAAAACGACTGGTGGTTGAACACGCAGTCCACGCGGTCGTACATAGCAGCCGACGCCGCCACGCATTCGCCTGTTACGGCCTCCCACAACACAACCCTACGACACACTCGTGCACTTATTTTGGACAATTGATTGTTATTGTCGATTTTCGTCAGGTTTCTCTCTCATTGGATCAAACTGCGCCGCGACATTTGATTGGCTAATACCCACTTGGTAGAATATCGAAAATGAACTGCAGCTCCGACACACAAGTAATATTGACCAATAACGAGAGATTCGAGCTTCGAGCTCAATCCATACCAAGTCTCCAATACATACTGGAGATGTATAGTTAACACACACATGGAGATCCAATTGCAATGACTGTACTGGTATGTATGGACACATCAGAATACTATGAGTTTGGTAATCACGAATCGACGCCATTGGCTACTCCAACTTTGAGCTACGTTTGATTGGCTATTTCAGAAAGGAGACGTAGATTCAGCCAATCAGAATATCAAAGCGCGATTCAATATTGAATAGAAAACCACGTGAATGTTGGACGTTTGGAGCGAATGAAGTCACAAGATAATCCTACAATCTTTGTGAACGTTTCAAAGAGGGCAAGTAGATTTAGCCTATCAACATTCCCAGCGTGATTCACTGTTGATTAAAATCCACGTGAATTCCTACAAAAAAATATTTTGTAAGGACTGTAGGCTTGCATAATCCTCTTCTGACTCACATAACATAACCTCTGCGACGCAATCTCCATACAGGATGATAGTCAAGTCGATTCAGAGAATGGTACATGAAAAAAGTGAAAAAGATATTGTGCTTTCGAGTGAAATTTCGTGTTGTGGTTTCTCGTTGGAATTTAAATCGATTTGATTGGCTACTTCAGAATATGAGCTCAAAATTATTAGCCAATCAAAACCTTCTCAATGAAATTGAACCAATCAGATCGATTGTGGATCGGTTTGGTCGGCGCGATTCGATTGCACCCCGTCCCCAAA